CATACAATTAGAGCCCTGTTAGAATTTTTAAAAACTAACGAAGAAGGAAAGAAGCAAATACATCTATTCCTCTAGATAATATATTCTAAAGTCACTCAACCTGGTGGGTTGCTTTCACTCATCTTTTTAGTGTAAAGAATATAATAGACTAAGAATATTACTTAAAACTCTTAAATATAAAAGAGTTTTGTAGATAATTGAGTTGTGGTCTTGCAAATAAGCTTCCCATTCTCACTCAAGCCCTCAAGCCAGTATGTGGTCCATTTTAACATCCTTTATGATTAAATTGCCTTAATAGGATCTTAAAGGAACGCAAATAATAATTCAAAAACCTCCACATGTGGTCTGGAAAGATTAGACAAGTCTTAAGGAGACAGGGACTTAAATCCTGGCTGATAATATGGTGGAGAAATTATGTACAATAAAGGCAAGGGAGAAAGAACAAGGATTTAGCTAAAGGAAGATACCATCAGGAGACACAAACCTTCATATAAATCAAGCCTATTTCAAGTGTTATTTTGTAAACTGGATCTTGGGCTGTTGATCTCTTTAAATGATTACTACAAAGTGTATGCACTTTTAGAAACAGTTGCTGGCTGATTTATATTTCATACATATTTCCATCAGTTTTTGTTCTTTAAGAATATGGTTTGTATAATAGAGTTGATATTTTCAAATAATATGAAAGACTTGAAATTCAATTTGTAAACAAGCTATGTAATTTTAGTGTACAATTACAACATCATATTTGGAAAAAACATTGATAAAAGCAGCAACCAAATACATACTCAGATGAGACCCATTTTCAAAAGATAACATCACTTTGTCAGAAAAGAAATATTGATGGAAACGTTTTTTAACCTGATCTTGCCTCTAAATTCTGATAGTCTAGCAGAGTAATAAAATCAGCCCTCACATTTTCTCTTAAAGACAGGAAAAATGGGCTTATAAGAAAGAGGGAAAGATGGTGGGAAGGAGGAAGGGAGGGGAAAGAAAAGGAAAGGAAAGGAATCATAGGATCTCTGGGATATTCCGTCTTCTTCGGTAATTGACATCTTATTGAGCGGGCTTGGAGAAGATGAAGTAAGTGTTCCTAACCCTAGAAATACTTTAAAATTGTCAAATTGATATTTTATGTTACCAACAGAAGACAAAATACACGTGCAATGTTTATCACCCATGATAACATAATTTACCTATTCTAAAGTCTGTAACAAAGATGGCAAGTGAGTTAAGCAGTACTCAATATACATGAATTGAAGGAGTTGGCTAACTCTTTTGCACATGTAAAGGATACTGTGAATGTCTTTTTATGCAGGCTACATTATTCCTAACTGCCTATCTACTCAGTAAGGGATGAATTATCCAGTGGCAATGTTCAACGAAACAGAATCAAGTCACAGTACAAATAAACAATGCTCTGCAAAGGGAATTACCCTATTCCATATACTGGTCAGAAAAGAGGTAATTTAATAGAACAATGCTGTTAGTAAAGGCCAAAATATGGGTAGCATTCTAAAGCTGTTATTGCTGCCATTAATGAAAAAAATTCATGGCTGCCTCATGTTTCTAAAGCAGAAAGGTTCTTCATTTTCATTTCTTAGAGAATAGAATTTATAAGTGACAATACCAACAATCAACGTTTTATTCACTTAGGCTTTTGTTATTTTGTACTTTATCATTTATGCTAATTGTTAAGCAAAGTAAATGCTTATAGAGACCAGTGTCCAATGAAGTCCTCTGCAAAAATTGTTCACACTGCTTTCTGCATGGGGAGAAAATAAAGCATAGATATGGCTGAATTAACTAGGAAATAGGCAGCAGCCATCATGGGTCATGGATCCACGAGCAAACCTGTGAATCAGATTGTTTGTATCCTGTTTACCAACTTCTTATAAATCCTACATGAGTTGTTTTGTTATTGTTACATATTTAGAAAATTTGCTTTCCCCCAAATCTGCTGAGATCCTGTTACTTTATTACTCACGTATGCTTTTCTAACATGCCTCATGCAGCCTGGAATGGTGTTAGGAACATAATAAATGTTCATTAAATATACTTACAAATTGAGTTATGCCATTGTATCTTACAAGGTTAAGGCCATATGTGTGATACAAACCATCACTATTCTTTTTAACTTAATTATAAATTATATTAAAATAGCATAATATATTATATCATTGTATCATGGATTTTTAAAAAAATAATGGAATGAGTGTTGTTAGCCAGTGTTAAAAAGCAAAATACTTTACTGTCCCTTGACTTGGGAATGTTGGCATTAAAAAAAAAAAAAAAGGTAAAATTTTTAAATGCTGAAAGTTGCTTTGTTAAGTTGGAAGCTCAGAAACAATAGTATTGATCAAAGAAAAAAAATGCTGATTCTTACAAAGCAAAGCTAACCAACCAGGATTTTTATAAGAAATACAATGTAATAATGCCTGGTCAGCTCTTAAAAGTACAGTAAAACAGTTGTAGGGTAATTTTAGAACAAGACAAAAAATTCAGATAATTCACAGATTTGATCTTTTGAAAATGAACACACTTTTAAAGTTAGTTACAACATTAGAAAATTCACCAAGGATTTAAGGAACTTTTTAGTAGTTTTTAAACTGTTGACCTAGCTAAAATATGGTATATACCATATATATATATGCGGTATATATAGTATATATTATGTACAAATAAATATACACCATATGTATGGGGTGTGTGTGTGTCTATGTGTGTGTATGTATGTGTGTATATATATATATATATATATATATATATATATATATATATATATGTATATATGGTGTGTATATTATGTAAAAATAAATACATAGCCTAATTTGTTTTTAACCAAAAACACAAAATAGCCATAAAAGTTATTGATTTTACATAGATGATCTATGAAGAGAAAGTCAATAAAGCAAGTGAAGACTCAAATGTTGGGCCAGGTGCAGTAGCTCACATCTGTAATTCTAGCATTTTTGGGAGGTCAAGGCGGGCGGATCCCTTGAGGTCAGGAGTTCATGACCAGCCTGGTCAACATGGTGAAACCTTGTCTTTACTAAAAATACAAAAGTTAGCCAGAAATCGCTTGAACCTGGGAGGCGGAGGTTGCAGTGACCTGAGATTGTGCCACTGCACTCCAGCCTGTGAAACAGAGTAAGACTCTGTCCCCCAACCACAATAAAAAGAAGACTCGGGGCCGGGCGCGGTGGCTCACGCCTGTAATCCCAGCACTTTGGGAGGCCGAGGCGGGTGGATCACGAGGTCAAGAAATCGAGACCATCCTGGTCAACATGGTGAAACCCCGTCTCTACTAAAAATACAAAAAATCAGCTGGGCATGGTGGCGCGTGCCTGTAATCCCAGCTACTCAGGAGGCTGAGGCAGGAGAATTGCCTGAACCCAGGAGGCGGAGGTTGCGGTGAGCCGAGATCGCGCCATTGCACTCCAGCCTGGGTAACAAGAGCGAAACTCCGTCTCATAAAAAAAAAAAAAAAAAAAAAAAAAAAAAAAAAAAAAAAAAGAAGACTCAAACGTTATGTTAATATAGACATTACGAAGGGGAAATTAGCATTATCTAGTGAGTTAATCTGTACAGCAACAAAACATTGTCCAGAACAGAAACCTGGGAGCAAGACCAGCTTCGTGGGCATGCAAAGGGTGAAATTGTGCAAGGCCTCATGCTGCTGTAGCCATCCTATAATCTTAATAATTTTTAACCAGATGCCCCTGTGTTTTTATTTTGCAAATTAAAATTATTTGGGTCTTACAAATTATTCAGCTGGCCCTGAGGTTTTACTTCTATGAGGCAAATATTTGTATTATTTGCAGAGCTTAGCCCTCTTCCCTTCCTTCAATTAATACTTTATTCCAATTTGTTATCATCTTGTCTCTGTAGCCCTGGCCAAATGAAATAAATGATGGAGATTCTGTCAAAAGCACACTCAGACCGTATCTCCTGTTCTCTCTTCTTCAACATGCTGATTTATATTACCCAAGAAGTTATGTAATACAAAGGTTACTCTCTCACACTCACAACTACCAGTTAAAATATTTCCAATCTCTACTTCAACTTATTCCAAAAATGCAAGATGTGATTTTGAAGATAAATACAGTTTCATGTATAATGAATAGGAATATAAGCCAAATATCATTATTAATTTTTTTATAAAAAGGAAGTAGGTACAGTTAGGTGTTTAACGTAAAACAGCTTGTTAACAAGTGGCTATGCATTTTATTTTGATTTTAGATTCCACTTTTTTTTCTAATGTGAAACAAAACAAATTTGGCTAATGGCTCATCAGCAACCAATCTTGTCAAAAACATTAGAAACGCACAACAGAAAACAAAATTTTCTGAAGTACAGAAATTGTTTTTGACTATGTAATTTTGGAGCTCTTCCTTTAACAGAGCAGAAATCACTGAATCATACCTTGGTCAAAAACCATTCAGCTGCCTTACTTTGTGGAAAAAAAAAATAGCTGAATCTAGTGATTCAAGTTAGAGGAGAGTGAGATTATCCAATAGATGTTATCCCTCCTCTTCCTTACGTCTCAGTTTGCTTTTAGTAGCTTTTTCAGTGCATGTGGTGCATGTTTAAGTTTTTAAATTAGTCCCTGGATTTAGAAGTTGTATGCTATTGTTCTTTTACCTTTGATGTCACACTTTTTACAAACTCAAAAAACTTGTAAATTCAACAGAGGAGGCTGAAACCCAATGATGAAGATAAAATACTGTCAGGCAGAGTAAATAACTGTCTTAGGAAATGAATATGCAGACTGCATGGATAGATTAGGCCTTTGCCATTATGGTACATGATCTAAGTGAAGAGGCCATTCTATTTCTACAAGTTATCTTACTTTTACATATCCTTGAATTAAATAGGTTACTTAAAAAAATATTGTTCTTCCATTTTGTCACCTCGCAAAGGTTTTGTGAAAGAATTTGAGGATGTTGCAGAGAAAAATAAACATTTTCTAAATACTACCCGTTCCTTTTCATACTCACACTCAGGCTGTGTGGCCACCTTGATGGGTTGAGAACTTTCTCCTGGTCCCCATTCATTGTAAGCCACAACTCGGAAAGTGTAGATGGCTTCTGGCTTCAGGTTTCCCACGGTGAGCTGAAGGGACCCAGGCTGTGTTGTATTCAACGCTCGCTCCCTGAGAAATCAAAGTTGCAGAGAAAGATTATTCTAAAAAGAATACTTTCAGCCAAAACCAGTATTTGATGTGCAAGAGTAGTCAGGTGGATCAAAAGGTTGTTCGCTCATCTAATGTTGACTCTGGGATATAATTCAGCATCTCAAGCTTTCTATAGAAAGTAAACTAATTGGAAGGACCTACAGATAAATGTTGCAAGGATTCTGGGAGTTTAAGCTTATGTCATTCTCCATGAAACTTGCAAAGTGAAGTCTTTTCCCTTGACACTTTACAATTTGAAATTCAAGACACAGAAAAAAACAAAGAGCTATTAAAATAAGAAGAAACATCTGGAATGTAGACAGGAAGATGCGTTTTGTAAACATCCGGCTAATGACAGAAATCAAGGTTTCAATTATTCCAGAAATTGGTCTTTGTCAGTATTGCCAACAAATGCATTTATGCATTTTCTCTCATTGTATGAAAGGAAAATGCAGATGCTAAGTGTTCCTATGTATGGAGCCTGAGTCCCTGCGCAATTAGTGAAAGGAAGTAGATTCCTTCCTGCGTGAACAGAAACTGTAACATATGCCTGTTTGCCTTGCTCTTCAAGCCACATCTATGTGTTCAATATCAATACCTTTATCAACTAAAAACTTCCTCAGTGTTGCAGACTAATGAATTAATCTGCTGATCATGGTTGCATTTACAATGCATATTAAGAGATGATAAACGCTTTGGATATGAATGCTGACATTTTAGAAAAAAACATTGAAGTATTCTTTAAGGACACACATGATTGTAAACCTTCTGAACATTCTAGATATCTTCACTGGACCTTAACATACAGCTGATTGAACTGACTGAAGAAGTAACTTCCTCTAATCTTTTCAATTGTTTCTCCTGGTTTCTACATCTAGACAATATCTCTTGCTTCTCACTGGAATTCTATGTATACTTTAATTTTGCCATTCAGGTATGTTTGGGTTTTGGACATATTTAAAAGGAAGTATCTTTTTCTCCTAGGGAAAACTACATTTTCAAAAAGTAAAAGTTCTTAAGTGCATGGATGACGATTTGTAGGCATATCTACGCTCTTAATATGACTGATGGCAGAGACTGCCTGGCTTATCCTCAAACCCGAAATTTCTTCTTCATGACTAGACCGTATTTTGTAGCTTCCCTGAAGTCTAGTTGAGGCCACGTGACTGATTCTCATCAAGAGTTTGAGTGTACATGATGTGTGCTGATTCCAAGTCTGGCCTAAACAAAACTGCACATGGGTAATTCTCCATGTTCTCTTCCTTCACCTGTTGTCTTGAGGTAGGCAAGCATAGTGACCTTAGAAGTCATTTGCAGGATAATGGAACAATCAAAATTTGCAGTAATTCTGGAGAAGAGCTGGGAAAAGAACTGCCTGTCAATCAGTAACATCCCTTCCATACCTTATAGAGTCAGAAATAGTTTTGAGCCATTATATGTTTTAGGGCTTATTTGTTACAGGAGTTAGCATTATTTTATCTAACACTGCTAGTATTTAAAATATGCACCCTGAGTGGTTGCCAGGGGCTAAGTGATGGGAGAATGGGACCTTAGTCTTTAATAGGTAAAGAATTTTAATTGGAGACAATGAAAAATTCTGTGGACACTACAAAATACATGCACTAATATCACAGAACTGTACACTTACAAATAGTTAAAATTGTAAATATTATGAAACATATATTTTACCACAATAGACAAAAAGGACTCTGTTTGAATCTGGATATAGCCTGAGGTTTAGGTATTCTTTAAGAAGTACAGTGTGAAGTGTCTGGAAGGCTGAACTCTGACTTCTAGCAGAGTAGGGGACTGGATGAGATTCAGCAGTAATCTAAAATAGGTAAGGGTAAGAAATGTGGAAATATGCTCCCATTTGCCAGATACCACACTGCTATATTCTACCAAACTAAGATCATTTAAGTCAACAAGTTGCTTTTTAAAAGAAAACCCTCATAATAGAATTGTATGCCTTGCTGTGTATAGCTCAAAGAGATTGAGCACATGAAGATGGGAATTACTGCTTATTTATTTTAGAAGAATTTTTATATACAGTGCCTTAGGTAGCTTATTGATATAGATAGGGTGACTTCATTATCATGATTTTACATATAGAGAGTGAGGTTTAGAAAAGCAACAAGATTTATTCAAAGGCTTCAGTTAGTGGGTACCACACTGAAGAATAAAATTTGGAACTTAGTCCTCTAAATCTAGTACTGATATCATTCAACAATAGCGGCAAAATAAGGCAGTTCTTCACATCATGGGAACTTTGGGTAAAAGACATGAGGTCCTATAGGGGAAAAGGGAAAATGAGCACTGAGAGACTGCTGAGAGGATGAATTTGTCTATCATCTACTGTGAAACATGTCATAGCATCTTTTCTATACCTTCAAGCAACACTGTTATCAAAGGTCACATTTGCATTTCAAACACCTTGGGTAGCTATAAGGAAAGACAGTTTTCATAATTGACATTATTTTTATAAGTACTAAATAAATTGGATGAAATAACTGTGTTCCAAGTCATGCTGGCCATAATCCTCTGAGCAGGTAGTCTTCTGTACTTTAGTTTTTGAAATAACTTCATTATTTTAGTTTCTGGATTACATGTAAAAATTAGTTACATGGGTATATTGTGTGATGCTGAGGTTTGAGGTATCATTGATCCTGTCACCAAGGTATTAAGTATAGTAAGCAGTAGTTTTTCAGCCTTTGTCCTTGTCCCTCCATTTCCTGTCTGACAGTCCTCATGTCTACTGTTGCCATATATATGTCCATGAATACCCAACGTTGAGCTCCTACTTAACAGTGAGAACATGTAGTATTTGGTTTTCTGTTCCTGCATTAATTTGTTTAGGATTATGGCCTCCAGCTGCATCCATGTAGCTTCAAAGGAAGTGATTTCATTCATTTTTATGGCTGCACAGTATTTCATGGTGTATATGTACCACATTTTCGTTATCCAGAATATATAAGTGGATGTATGCTTCTGGTAGAATTATTTGTTTTAGATATGTACCCATTAATGGAATTGCTAGGCTAAATTGTAGATCTGTTTCAAGTTCTTTCAGAAATCTAATTGCTTTCTATAGTGGCCGAAGTAATTAATGCACATTTCTGCCAACCATGTATAAGCATGCCCTTTTCTCTGCAGCCTCACAAGCATCTATTATTTTATTTTTTCAGTAATAGCCATTCTGACCGATGAGGAATGGTATCTCATTTTGGTTCTGATTTGTGTTTCTGATGATTACTGATGTTGAGTATTTTTCAAATGTTTGTTGGCTGCTTGTGTATCTTCTTTTCAGAGTATCTGTTTATATCTTCCTCCAAACAGGTATACTTTAAAGGAAAAAGAGGCAAGGAAATTTGCACATGTTCAGGTAAGAATGTCCAAGATCATGAAATGAAAATATCACTTACATATAAAATAGGATGTTGGACCTCCTAATGGGGAAGGTTTTATAATCTCCATTAGCCTTCAAAAATTATCCAAAATTAATAATTCATAAAAATTATGTGTATATATATATATATATTCATTGATATGGACAATTCATATTTTCTCAGTCTTACATAAAGTGTAAATAAAGCTTCTTAAGAAAATGCTTCTATGGGATCCAAGATGGCCAGATAAGAACAGCTCTGGATTGCAGTTCCCAGTGAAAGCACAGTGGGTGAGTGATCACCACATTTCCAAATGAATTTTTACTGCCCACAGACCAGGAGATTCATGGACAGAAAAGTGCCACGAGCCTCCAGCACAGCTGTTTGAGCCAGTGCAGCAGGTCTCCACACAAAAACTCACACAAATCCAGGCACCATTTGAACTGGCTACTGGAACACCTGGGAGAAAGAGTCGCCTGTTCAACTGAAAACAAGGGGGCTGAAACAGGGAGCCAGGTGATCTGGCTTGGCTGGTCCCACTCCCACAAACACCAGCAATCTGAAATGCTCTGGATTGAGAGTTTCACAGCAAACACAGCTGGACCTGGGACAGTCCAGCTCTGTGGGGGGGAGGGCATCTGCCATTACCAAGGCAGTCCACCACCGAGGCAGTCTGCCACTGCCCAGGTAGTCCACCATTACCAAGGCAGTCTGCCATTACAGAGATAGTCCACCATGACTGAAGCAGATTACCAAGGCAGTTCTAACCATAACCCTATAAACAAAACTGCAAGGAAGTTCACACAACAGCTAGGCAGAGCCTGTGGCAGCTCAGCAACATCTCTGCTGGAAGACTGTGACTAGGCTACCTCCTTGCTGGGCAGAGCATCTCTGATAAAAGGCAAAAGAATGACAGGAACTTATAAATAAAGCCCAACCTTCCTGGGACAGAGCACCTGGGAAAAAACAGTGGTTATGAGTTCTGCTGCAGCAGACTTAAACATACCTTCCCAGTAGCTCTGAAGAGAATAATGGAGCTCACAGCTCAGCATTTGAGCTTCTATAAGGGATAGACTGTCTCTTTAAGCAGCTCCCCGACCCCCATATAACCAAAGAGACACCTCACGAAGGAGAGCTCAGGCTGACTTCTTGTGGGTATCTTTCTGGGACAAAGATAACAGAAGAAGAAACTGGCAGCAACCCTTACTGTTCTGCAGCCACTGCAGGTGATCCCCAGGCATGCAGGGTCTGGAGTGGACCTCCAGAAGTCCTACGGCAGGGGGACCTGACTGTTAGAAGGAAAACTAAGAAACGGAAACAACTTCTTTAGCAACAAAAAGGATGCCCACTCAGAGACCCCATCTGAAAGTCATCAACCAAAAAGACTACAGGAAGATAAATCTACAAACATGGGAAGAAACCAGCACAAAAAGGATGAAAATACCCAAAAGCAGAACACCACTCCTCCTCCAACAGATCACAACTCCTCACCAGCAAGGGAACAAAGCTGGATGGAGAATGAGTCTGATGCACTGACAGAAACAGGCTTCAGAAGGTGGGTAATAAGAAACTTCTCTGAGCTAAAAGATCACG